AAACAAATTAAAAGAGATGGGTCACTTTGTTGATCAATATATTCAATTTAAAAAGTAAAAAAAAAAAAGGTACAAGGAAAGCCAAGAGAGAATATGAAACTAAAGTTGAGGGAGTCATAGACAGTTAGTGGCATGCCGCAGGGAGCAGCATTGGGACCCCTTGCTAACAATCTACTTAAACGACAGATGAGGGAACAGTGACAAAAGTTAAGTTTGCCGATGACACTGAAATATGCAATAAAATTATTTTCTGACGAGGACACTAGAGGGCTACAGGATCTTATGGATAGATTGAAGATGTGGTCGGAGAAGTGGCAGATGCAGTTCAACGAGACAAGTGTAAATAAAGTTCTAATTCTAGGAAAGTGTAAGGTTCTAATCTTAGGAAAAAAATACCTATGACACTAATAAGCTCAGTAATGTAGATCTTAGTTAAAATGAATATGAAAAAGTTATAAAGTTCTGGTTAGAAAAAATTTAAAACCAAAATAATGGTGCATAAATGTTCGCAATCGAGTTAATAGAATTCCTGGTGTCATATCAAGAAACATAAATAAGAAAACTTCTAAGGTTATACTTCAACTTTATCTTTCATATGGTCTGTCTCATTTAGATTATGTTGCTAATTTCTGGTCTCCTTATTACCGTACAGAATGGACATTAATGCACTTGAAAATATATAGAAAGAATAGAGAAAGATAACGAAATTAATTACATGCATCAGAACCCTTTCCTACGAGGATGAAGGCACCGAATTCGCACTCTGGAAGGATTTAAAATTAGGGAAGATACGGGGGGGGGGGGCAGAATTTCTATAACGGGGTGGAAGGGGAGGTTATTACTAATTTTACTTGGAGAGGCTGTGGGAATTGGTATCGCTACTGGCGAGAAAGACTGAAATATACAAGTAAAAACAGGAATAAACAGAGAATATAAATAGCGTGTTAAAAATGTCTAACCACGACATGACTCGCAGCAATGAATTCAAGTCAGACAAATTTAGATTTAGAAAGGCTATAAGGAAGTACTGGTTTAGCAAGAGAGAGTTGTAGACGAGTGAAATACTTCCAGGTAGCGTCCTTGAGGCCAGAATGTTGGATAGGTTCAAATATAGTTGGAGGGGTACACGAGTGTGAGTTGGGCCTCCCTAGCATGAGCCAATAGGCCTACTGCTGTGTGCCTTCATTATGTTTTCGTGATCAAATTGCTAAGTAGCGTCAGTGAAGCGTGCATATTTGGTAGCTTTATGACTCAGGAAATCGTAATGACACGACTGTTTGGTAGTTTTATGCTCTTACAAATATGCACTCGATATTCAACAAGCCATTACAGACACCAGGATGTTCTAAATTTGCAACTCAAGTCTCAATGTGATACAAGTCTTCAGTGTACAATACACATGTGCCACTAAATACTGGTTGACCCAGCAACCTACCACTAAATCGTTGCAGAACCAGCACATGTACCGCTAAGCTGTGGTAGACCGAATACTTGTACCATAATATCGTCGCAAAACACTAAATATTTATCAACCCCTAAAAAATATCACCGTAAACACACAGATGACCTTCAGTGTACTCACCTCCCTTGGGTTTTGTCTCTGGATAGCAAATGCGGAAGAGGCCCTTGGTGCGCGTCCTGTAGAATCCGCTGTTTTCAAACTCCTGTGGAGTGATATCCGACCGGGAAAGCGATTTCTGCGAATACAAGAGAAGCGGTTATTACACGAAAAAAAATTATTGGTAGTAATCTACTCACCAAACTGCCTGAAGAAGTATTCAAATGTCTCGTCAATCGTCAAAAAAATTTAGAGATTCTGTTGAAACAAAATTTGGAAATACCTCAGATCGGATGGGTTTCCAGACTTACGTAAGAGCTAAGTAAAAATGCAAGTCTATTGAACCATGCTAGGAAGATCTTACAAAATTTGCTGTGACTGGTACAGTTCAAAGCATTTATTAAGGAAACATTTCGCCACAAGTAGCTTGATCGAAGGACCTGGGGTCAGTACTGGTGTGAACCGAGACGATTCGGTGCTTTCCATCTGCTGACTTTAAACAAAGCAGTAAATACCGTTATATGGCTGTATCCGTGGGGACGAGAGCTGAAGGAACCAAATTACTCTATTTTCTTTAGTTACGTTGGGTTAACAGAATCTTAAGTTAATAATCCCAAGTTCTTGTTTTCTATCCTAAATTAAATTTTACTATTGTCCATTTAGCTACTTCTTATTTCTGTACATTTAAAAATTCCTACTTAATAACTAATGTCAAGTGCTTACGTAGTCTTTAAGCATTAGGATTAATCTGGCCAAAATGCACAGCATCCTAGTGATTTTCTTTTGTGCCTAACAATATTTTATTACATGTAAACTACATTACCTGTATACCGCAGAAAAGAAATAAATTTATCATTATATCTACTTATCTATATCCTGTTACTAAAGTTCCAAAGCATATAATTTTAGGTGGGTTCCTTTGTTCGTGCTAATGCACTCGGGAGGCAAGAAACTAAGTAGTATGTTACTGCTAATACATAATTTCTTATCACGTACTCATTCCTTTCCTGGACCTGGAAAAAAAACCACCTCACCCGTGTTAAAAAAAAAAAACATGATTCACTTCCAAGAGTACATCTGCACTCTGCTCAAGCAATTTCTGCAAAGGTTTCGATCAACTGGAGGTCGACTGCCCTTCTGACATTCAATAGAACTTGCAGGGTGGTAAGCTATTAGTATTTTGTTACGGTGGAGGATTTAATATGGCTGTTCTCGTAATCACGTATTCCAAGTAACATAGATGTCGCAGTACCAAACAGCATAGTATAAACCTTGGTAATTTATACCAATAAAGTGGTTTTAATAGACGCTTGAGCAAGCACTAATACATAGTTATTAGAAAAATTTCGGTCCTTGGACCTTGATCACCTCTCATGATACCAAGACCGAAACGTGTTATAATAACTTGGTCCTAATCTCGCTATGCG